GATTCACGCTCTGGTGGGGAGTTCCGACTTGAAGGACAAAAAGACTGTAGTGTCGGCGCTTTCGGACAAGGAGATTGCGATCGAGAAGGCGACCGATTCCCTGGCCTCTTACGGCTCCGGGATAATTGAGGAGCGCTACTCTGAGATCCTCGCCAAGGAGGGCGAGAGCAAGATCAAGCAGCTGCAGAGTCTGAACAAGCTGATAAACTCGCACCTCCACCACACCTGGAGGGGTGCCTTCCCGAGAGGAATTGAGGTCCTGAAGCCTTTCCCGGAACACACTGCTCCCCTGATAGGCAGAGCCATGCGCCTGGCCGAGTATCTGCTCTCCTGCCCAGAGACCCCGATACCCTCCAGCTGCCCTCCCAATGCGCCGAAGTGCACCCCGTGCGGGCAAGGCCAGCGGGCGAAAGGTGCCAGGATCTCAACCCCCGCCCAGTACCACAACGCCACCGACCACTTCACGATCGGTACGGTCCCCCACCCCTGGACGCTTGCCACGCTGTCGAATCTCCGGGAGAGGCTGGACGTGCCCTGGATCCGCCGCGAGTCGAAGCGGGATCCCTGGCTGGACGAGGTCATGCGCGACCTGCTGAGCGGCCCGGCCTCGAGGGGCGTGCAGATCATGCGGTTCAAGCAGGCCGTGGCGGGCGACGGCGCCCTGGCCTACACGTTCTGGTTTCCGGCGGAGGACATGCCTGTGGAGCTGAACTGGCAGTTTGGCTTTGACATACCCAAATCTGCGTTGGATGATCCCAAGACCGGCACCACGGACAGTTCGAGCAGCAGCAGCAGCAGCAGCAGTAGTAGTACTGCCGCCAGCAGCACAGAGAGTGGCACGGGTAGTAGTAGTACGGTGGATGCCGCTGCTGCTGCGACCACTACGGCCACAGCCGAGAAGCGTGCAGACGAGGAAAGCAAGGAGAAGGACAGCAAACGCAAGGATAGCAAAGACAAGGAGAGTCAGGAGAAGGACAGCAAAAACAAGGACAGCAAAGACAAGGAGAGCCAGGAGAAGGATAGCAAGGACAAGGAAAGCATAGACTCTGAACCCCAAAACGCCCCCGAGGTCGTCGAGGACGTCGGCGTAAAAGAGCAGAGGCTATTCGACAACGCCAAGAAGCTCATCGCGCTGACCAAGTCCACGGACGAGACCAAGCTGCGCGCCTCCCTGGAAGCGTGGAGCATGGCCGACACCGAGATCTGGAAGTTCACGCGGGCCTTCCAGGCCAGGCGCATCAAGGTCCGGACCGACTGGGAGAAGGAGGAGGCCGGGTACAGCCGGGGTGCCGGCACAGAGGGTGGGCGCACGTCGTGGAGCCGGTGGCAGGACCACAAGGGCGACAAGGGCGACAAATAATTCCATCTTACTTTCCAAGCATGCTACGTTGGAGGGAAGGGGGGGAATGCATTATAAAATGGGAATGTATATTGCTCTCAATATTGGTATGAAGCGTACTCTGCGTTATGGATTACAGGGATGATAATCAACTGCACAAATACAACAACGAATTTTTATGATTTTCTTCTCGAGCAAGACCTAAGATTTGGAAAGACAAGAGATGTTGAAATCTCCTTCAGGCGGATAATAAAAAGAAAAGAACTAGCTAGGGTGTGAGTTCGGGATTGATGGTGTTGAAAGCCTCATCCAGGAACTCCAAGGAACCTTTCGGCCCCCCGCCATTTCTACTTAAGCACGGCTGGTATCGCCGCCCATTTCCCCAGCTAATTCCCGAGATGTGAGGCCCCTGCGGCCGAGTCCATTCTCAAACTGTCCATTGATGGATGGTGCATAGCGAGAGCCATTCACGGTGGCACTCTCAGCATAGGTGCGGAGGGCCGTCCGGGCAGCTTCGACCACCTGCTCAGCGTGGGACAAGGCATCTTTCAGCGCTTGTGCTGTGGGGTCGTTCGAGTCGTTGAGAGCCGCAGTGCCATTTTCCAGGCGCTGGTTTTCCAACAGCTCGCGGATGTGTGTGTTGAGCCAGTATCCCTCAAGTTTGGAGTGGGTCATGTCTTTGGCCCCGGCAATGGTGCCTCGGCACCTGGAAGTGCCGCACAGGCACTCGAAGGGCTGGGCCATGCTCCATTCCGTGGATGGGTAAAAGAACTAGAGGGTTGTGAGCGTGGGGGGGAGCGAGACATTGGGAGTAAGCAGCTGCTTGGAGGGCTTGGGGCTTACTGTGAGTTCATCCCCTGGTTTCAGGCCATTGGGGCCAACGAGAATGTTGAAGTTTGTGGTATCGAAGATCTAGAATTGGGATCAGTTGTCTGGAGCAATCCTCAAGCGCGAGCGGCTCCCCCCCTTTTCTCCCCTCCGACTTTGACTAACGAGAGAAGGGTCGCAAGAGTGGTTAATGTAGAGCAAGTCACTGTTCAGGTTCAAGTGCTTGTCTTTGCCCATCTGGACTGTCGCGTATGTCGGCTCCGGTGCCGCGCTGCAAGGAGGGAACGAGAGCTTCGAGAATACGGCAAAAGGTGGTAGTGACACCTTGGAGAGACTCTTGGATGTGAATTCAGCCTCGTTAATGACGACTTCCTGAATTCCAGGGTGAGAGGGCTGTGGCCAGTGGGGCTTGAGAGGGGCCATTGTTCCGTCCGTGTGTAAGTGAAGATGCCAACAATGTGACTGGGTGCGGGAGAAATTGAATGAAAGGACGGAGTTGGAGGCGAGGTGATGATGGTAGACGAAACTGGCTGGGAAGCCGGCACTGTGGCTCTTTTTGAGCCTGAGCCGGCCCACGAGAAGCCGGACCCTCGGGACGCCTCAGCAGAAGCACATGAAGTCAGTCATGCTCCGTACTACCGAGAGCCACGCCCATCCGCGGTTTCAATGGCTGGAGTATGAAATTGTGGACATGGCTTGCATGTGTGGATGCTGCAGCGGACATGTGGTTGGCATATGGCGGCAGGCTAAGTTGCGGGGTAGAGCCGTGGGGGCAGAGGCCTCGATTCAACGTCCAGTCCAAATGTCAGGTCCAAGGTGTGAAGAGCCGGCCAACCGGTGCGCTTTCGGTGGAACGCTGGCAGCCTATCGGGTTGCTGATGGTTCCCAAAGTTGGAAACCTCCCCTGGCGCCATGTTGATGCTACTCTGCCCATCCCGACGGCCCTGGCCATTGGATGCATCCTTATGATTGGTGGTGAACGATACATGCAAGTAATTCAGGTAGGTAAGGTAGATATACATGTGTCCTACAACAGTCTTGCATCCGACGGCATCTTTATTGTTATGTGATAAATTGGGAACCATGACGAAGAGTGGGAGAAGCTTTCCGCATCGCTTGCACTGGATTGGCATCTTGACGCGGCACACGCCTGAGATACGACACTGCACTGGCAATTTACGATGGCCTACCTAGGTAGTAGACCTTGGGGTTTAAACTATGGCTTAGACGTTCTATTGTAGCGCTTACGGGCTCACACTGACAATTGGTTCCCTACGCGCACTCAGTCACTCGGGCGATAACCTCCTCAGATTTAGAAATGCCCTCCTTGAATCAACTCCTCAGCTCTGAACGCATCTACATTGACAGTACCTGAGCAACCAAGGAATTGCCGCCTACAAGCAGGAAGTACGGTACGTCTCTAAGTACCAGGGCGTATCGCCGTTCTTTCGGTTTGTGGAGGAGGAAACCAGGCAGTTACTGGGCAAATGGCAGGTACCACGAAGTTCCTGCCTGCCTTCCGCCTTATAAGTCCAGGTAGGTCTGCGACCTGCTCTACTTCATGTTCGGCCAACATTAGTGCGAGCTGCCAGGTACCCGTTGTCAAAAACGTCTTGTTTCCTCTGCCCAGCTGTACGCAGCTGTTACCAGGACAGAAATGACCGTTGCCTCTCTGCCTTTTGCCCTCCAAAAACTGCCCACGCTGTGGTCACCTGCCTTTCAGGTTCATTTCACTTATTGTCAATTTTGCCCACCGCACCTTTGTTTGTTTTTTTTCTCTCCGGTTCAACACTCCCTCAACACGAAACCCACACCAGAGAGTTGCTCACCTCTTTCAGAGTTATTCTCACAACATACATTCTCGTTTAGCAGAACCTGGCATCAACACATTCATTCCCTGACCGAGGCTCGGTCGCTCCTGCAACGCCTCTTCGACCTTGCAGATATTGCTTCATACGCTCTTTCCTGAGTGGTTTTGGCAATCGCTACCGCCACACTAACTTGAGGGACATACAACTTCCCGGAGTCACTGGGCTCCTTCTTTTTCCGGTGCACACGCCTGTACCACCTTCTGCATGGAATCTCAGCCCTGAACTTGAGCAAGAAGACCCCTCGTCCTAGCTGAAGAGGACCAGGTAGGAAACTAACTTTCAATTGACTCAAGAGCTGGAGTGAAATGTTCTAGCTTCTTCATCTTTGCTTATTGCATCATCTGGCTTAATCTCGCTCTCTACCTCTGATCTCATCCCTCTCTCATCCTGGACTGTCGTTTTTTTTCGCCTCGCTTTTTCCCACCTCAGATATAGCAGCAATCTGCATGACCGATCGAGACAGATCAGTTCAGCTGCCTCAATCCTCCTTCCTATCGCATTCAACCGTTTCTCACCCCGGCAAATGCTGCATGCCTCTTGGCCACTGATTGCCAATTTTGTTGCTCAAAGAGTATGTCCTTGGCGCCAAGTGTGCTTCTCCCTGACTCCAGATCAACTCTTATCACCAACTCCCGGCCCATCGCCTCCTCCTCGCAATGCTCATGCCCAAGATGAACCAAGTGCGGTGTCAGTCCACGCTTGAATCTGCCCTATTGGCAAAACAACCCTTAGATCCTCTCATTTCACATCACACCCACACAGAACCAATATCACAGTATTGGTCACCACGAGAGGATGACCCCAGCACAATCACCAGGTCAAGAACGTCTACTTTCGATCTCGTAGGCAATGGTGCATTTACTGATTTTCAGGGTGAAAGATTTCCCCAGATTGTATATCGGAATAACAACCAAACCACCGAGACTTCTTGTTTTACCTCGCCCCAGCAAGATTCTGAAACGATGGCTGCTCAGATATACTCAAAGAACGACCTCCTCCGGATGAGGCAAGCCCCGGCCGAAGTTGAATTGCAAAAGAATCTTCGGAACAAGTTGAAAGGCAAAGTAGATTTGAGTGAGCTTCGTCAAAATCCACCACATTTCAAACGGGTCGCTAATGATGTTGCAGACGACATTGTCCGTGCTCCAGGCCGAGGCCACAGGAAACTTGGTCGCATCCCTGAAGAACCTCGAGAAGTATCTGTCGAGAAAGACTTGGCGTTGGCACCTACTTCTGTTCGCCAACTTGATGGAACCGACTCAGAATGGAAATACCGTGGCAGGTCTGATTCTGAGGATGCTCAACCCCAGCCAATTTCTGCCCCTCCAGGTCTAGTAGCCCAGAGAGACGAAGGCTTTCAGCGTTTCTACAGAGCAGTTGTCTCCCCAACACATGTTCGGGTCACGGCTGGAGGCCGAATTGTACCAAACAATCGAGCCACCTTCTCTCCAAACCCAAAATGGGTCAAAGACAAACCTATGAGCGATACTGCGCCTTCCCACCGTGTTGCTGTCCAGGGACAGACCGAGCACTCGTCCTTTCAGTTCCCTCACATCCCCCTTGGCTCAATGCCTCAGATGTATGCTGGTTTCGCTCCAGGTCCAGGAGTAGCATCAGCACAACCCCCGTACACGTTCATTCCGTGGCACATGGGAATGGGAATGAGTATGGGTGCCAACTTCGGAATGCCGATTGCCCCAACCCCAGGAGTTGGGGCCAATCCAGCATTGAAAAAGCATCGAGATGCAACGAGCAGCGAGCAGCAGAGCGAATCTGGTGTCTTTGAGAAGGAAGTATCTGCAGCTTCGCCTCTCGATTTCTACGATCACACTCGGTCAATTCTTCTGAACAACCAGTGGATGATCCCACCTACCGCACCCTTCTACCCTGTCCCACTCGCACCATCGCAAGGCTTCAACGGAATGGCAATTCATGCACCTAGTGCAACTCCTGGAGGAGGAAATAGAGACATGGCTAATGCTAAGAAGGCTGACCAGTCTATGGAGAACAAAAGTTCTCATCACCTGCCCTTCTCGAAAATGGCGACAACGGGTACAGCTCCTCAACCCAATAGCACAAGTCTTCCTATTTCGTCTATCCGTCCGAGCGAAATTACAAGAAGGCACCTTGACATTCTTCGAGCGCGCCTCAGGTATCTGGAGGACCAGCTGCAATTTAACAAGCATCAAATCGATGAACGCGCCGTTGAAAATGACGCTCAGTTAGCTCGTCAATTCATCCAGCAGTTCGAGACAAACTACGAAATGCAATTCAATCTTGAGGAGTCATTTTATCCCAAGATGAAGGAGATCGAAACCCAACGTTCTTATGACGCAGCAACCCCAAAGCCTTCAGAGAATTTGAATCACCAAAATTTGGCACCCGCAAATAATTGTCGCTCAGGGTCTGACTATGGCGCATTCTACCAAGATGCCTTGAACGGCGAGGCGAAATTTCACTACGGATCGCAAAACGCGTCGGATTCTTCGCTGTACCGCCAAGCCCTCAGTGGAAATCTAAAGCGCGAAAAGTCGGAAACTCGTTTCGGCTCAGGCATTAATTCCACAAAGTCGGTGTCTGCTTTTGCCGGATCTCAGCCATTGACCGGATCTCTCAGAGGCTCTCGTTCGGGAAATGAGAAGTCAAGATTACCGCTCGATGCTGCGCTAGCCCCCCCATTTCAGCCTCGATCCGAGACTATGCTCCAGACCTATAATAAAACATTCGTCAATGCTGCTGGCGGTTTCGGAAAGCCCGGGAATGGAGCTGAGACTGTGAACAACTCCGCGGCTTCTTTATCGGGAGAAAGGGTTAGTTGGGATGCCTTGTCAACTCCTTGCGTACAACAGGAAGACAGGGTGCCATATCTTGTTGGCCATCTGCCTAATGGCATTGGATTGGATCGGGCACAGGTTACCGATTTCACCTACGAACGTGAGCTGACAGAAGATGAGCTTCGTGCTCGACATATGTACTGGGGTAAAGCTCCTCATGACCTTCAAAAAGGTCTCCCCAAATTCAATGGCAAGGACTTTTACCCCCCTTCGCCGTTGAAGGATCACAGCGCAGACAGCGCGGTAACTCGCAAAATGCCAACTCAAGCAGGCAAGACAGCCATGAGCACCCTTCAAGAGCAGGCTTTGGCCGCAGACCCTTTCAAGTTACTGGGTCAATCGGGACATTTGTTCTCTCGTGACGGTCCTGGAAATTCCACGCAGTCAGAATCGCTACCTGGACCTGAACACAATCTTTTACGAGCCGCAGTAGCTGGCGCGCATCACACTTGTGGAGGGGCCTTGAAGCGAGGAGGGAACAGTTATGACGAGCTTGCAGCCAAAAATCCTTTCAGGTTGTCTAAGTTGCCGATCGTTGATCCCAAGGAAAGCTCATCTAGCGATGAATGTGACGAGGACAGAGAGTTACTCTTCAAAGGTCGGAAGGCCATGCAGCAGGCCAAGTATGTCTGAACATCTTCACTGTTTCGATTGGCGAAAGTGCTAACAATGGACAATAGAACACATAACCGCATCTGGTCCAGCATGCTCAACAAAGGAAACTCGAGTGCCGGCGCTGTTCCCGGTGCGGTTTCAACTACAACTGCGCAGGGGGTCTTGCCACAATACGCTGGCCATGCCACTGCCTCCCTCACACCAACTATTGCCAACAACAGAGCCTCTTCACGGACTAATATGGCCAAGTCCAATGACGCTTATCATGTCAAGACGAACGATATGCTGCAGGGGCATCAATCGGAGAATTGCCCTCCTGGTTTCAACAACGCGGGCACCAAACGATAGACCACTCTCCTCTCTTCGAAAATCGTCAGCTAGTACTTTTTCTATGCACAACCAACCTTGGGGGGTTGAATTTCAGACTCACCTCACCACAACCTTATTTCAAGGGTGATATCAACCAGAGGCATACATTTGGCAGATCATTGTTTCATTATTTCTTATCTCAACAGAACTTGCACGAGTTCATTAATATTTGTTTATGCATTGGCATTGAGAGGTGTCTCTCCTAATTATAGCTACAACCAAGCTCGAAGGGAATATGAGTAGCACACTGATTAACAGGATCGAATAATTAAGTTGTAACAAACTGGAAACAGAATTCACATTTGAGGGGAACGCGGGGTCTTAATGAGGAGGCATCAGATGTATTCTCAAGACTATAGAGGTTCATAGCCATCAATAGCAATTGCCAGTTATTTAGCATCAACTACCAAGTATGCCACATGCCTCTTGACCCAGGCCAAGCACAGCGGGAATACAAGTCAACCTTACATGATGGGGTATACTGGTAAGGGAAGTGTGCCTCACCATCAAATTTCCACCGTCATTGGTAGTCCTACAGATGAAAATCTTCGGGCGAGAGCGAGAGATGATAACTATTAGGTATCTCTCGCTTGGGTTTCTCTTCGCTAATCATTTACCTCGCAAGCCATAGAGTGAAGTGACAGACGAGGTGATATACTAGCGGATTCGGGATCTACTTGATGGGGACTCTACGAGACCAACCTTGGAATTATCTTCATGACATTGCTGCTAGAGCGGTTGCCCCAACTTTGTCATATGAGAAGAACTCAGGACATTGTCAGTTACCAGAACGCATTCACATCTCGGAGAACGAGAGCAAGCTAACTTCGGGAAACGCCTCCCATGGAACATTTCACAAGTTGGTGAAATGGCCATTGAGAACGGTGAAATTCTCAATTCATATCTACCCTGCCTTTGCGTGTTGGCCCGGCCCACGAAGGAAACACGTGGGTATCACAGTAGTAAACGCCGGAGTGCATGCCCATGTCCATCATCAACTTTTTGTAACCCATGATTGTAAGTCGTTCGTCCGATCGAGGAGATTTCGATTATTTTTGTCAGATTTAGGCAGTGACCTTGCCCTTGGCCTTGAGCTCACGGCCGACCTTGGAGCGGGCCAGGATGTCCTCACGGTCCTTGTCGAGCTTGAGCTTGGTGATGACGACGTTGGAGGGGTGGAGGCCGAGGGGGACAGACTGTCCGGAGGCCTTGTCGCGGGTGATGCGCTCGACGTGGATCACGTACTTGAGGCGGTAGACGGATGTGACCTTGCCATCGCGGCCCTTGTTGCTGCCACGGACGATGGTGACCTCGTCGTCCTTGCGGATGGGAATGCTTCGGACCTGTTGGGAGTTTGTGAGCCAGGGGAAATTTCTTTTTCGAGGCATAGCTGCTTGATTAGGAACGTACGTTGTACTTCTCACGGAGCTCCTTGGAGAGGGGAGCGCTGAGGATGACACGGCGCTGGCTGGAAGGGGCCTTGAAGTGAGCAGCGCGGCTCTTGCGGCGGGAGGAGGAGACGACTGAGCAGGTTGGTTAGTCTGAGAGATTCATCCGGAGCAATTGAGCATTGGGTGATGGAGTGCAGCTCTGGTCAATCGTTCGAGGCACTTACGAGAGGAGACCTTGGCCATTGTGACGGTTAGTAGGGGTTGGGTGGGTTGTTGATGATGGAACGGGAGATGCGAGGGGATGCGAAAAAGAAGTCGAGAAAATAGTAATTTCTCGTGTAGGTAGGAGTTGTGGGCGAAAATTGGAGAATTTGGCGCACGTGATTAGTTACCCTAGGTACGTACTTCCTCCAGCTATGAGGTACTGCTGAGTCATTCTGGGTTGATGGTGGGAGCAAGTGGGGCTAAGTTGTGAGAGCTCGAGGAGCATCAGTATCTTTGGCTGAAGCATGGCAAGGTAGTAGCTAGGGAAATTAGATCCATTGAATCGTGATTATGATTTTGTAAGTCATGACTTACCTCAAGGGCCCTAACTAGGGATATCCTCTGTACCTAGGTTCAGGTCTTCACTTTCTAGACTACGTGGGGCAAGTCAAAGACTGATAGAAGAAAGTTAAACAACCACACTTGATATCACCGCTAAGTCAGTCAAGTCTTTGATCAATTGGCTCCCAGGGCAGGATATACACAGATATCTGTTGCGAGTTATAGTGTTGCGAGAGATCAATTAGATTTCGCCAGTCCTAGACTGAGAAGATTTCATTTGTACATTTGAGAAACTCATGTCTCAAGTTGGCGATTCCAAGCGCCTGAATCTATATATGAAACACAAGTGATGTAGGGGATTATTTTGAGTGTTGTACAGATTACGGGGATTTCACCCGGTAGCATATCTAGCTGGTTGGTGGCTGGAACCTTCCATTGTTGTCATATCTCGCTTCTACGATGTTGTTAGCATCCGTGAGTGCTCGGGAATAGACGAGGTACGGTTCATCAACTTACTGAAGAAGGTATAATTGAGAGTTACGGTCTCGACACCCCTCATGTTCAGGTCGTTCAACAGATCGGGGTCCAAGTAGAAAAAGACAGGCATGTCTACCGTCTCGCCTGCGTTCAGCCTCTGCTCCTCGAAGCAGAAGCACTGGATCTTGCTGAAATACGGGGCGCATTGTCCAGGAGTGACGCTGTATGTCGCGACGCCAATGATATCCTTATCGCCCTTGTTCGTGGCCGTGTAGAAGGCCAGAGCGGTCTCGCCGGGCAAGACACTGACCTCACGCTGCTGCGGTACGAACTTCCAGGGCAGCACGTCGGAAACGGAGGCGTTGAATGTGACCTTGATGCGGTTCGCCGACGTTACGGGGACAACGCGCGCGGAGATATCTTCGTACTTTTCGCCGCTCGTGCCGTGGGCGCGCACTGGTTGTCCTCCCCAGCCGGTCGTTTGGCAGATCTGAAGAAGTTGGGATCATTTGTCAGCCTGGGTTCATGTCGTCCTCGGAGCTAGCCAGCCAACTGGTAAACCTCACCATCTTGTAGAATGGCACGGAGCCGTATGCACAGGCCAATGTCCCGAGCATAATGCTTATAGCATAGTACCTATTCGGAGTGCTCAGGTAAGCTACCAGACAACAACTGCCATGGGTTCGAGACTGTGCCATACCCAATAGTCGTGTTCCTGTTGCTGTAATACTGTCGAGCCTGTTCCATAGAGGCAGATGGCGATTGGCCCTGCGACTGCTGGCTCTGCTGCGGTCCTCCATTCGGCGTCGTGCTCGAGGTGTTTCTGCGGAAGCTGGGGACGTCCCGTCGTTGGGACAGCGGTGACCGGCATTGCGCATAGCGGTAGACTCGAGGCGACTGTCGTTGGGCCGAGCGGCCGGTGGCGGCAAAAGCCTGCCACATCCGGGGCACGGCGCTCATCGAGTTCGATTTTGACACGGGCAATTAGTTTGCTGGTCGGTGTCGTTGGGAGTGCTGTAGATCGGGTGATGTCGAATAATCCAGTAGCTTGACATGGGCTGGTGGAGTTTTGGCAGGTACTAAAGTTAAGTCCCGGATTTGTCCCACCTGCCGAGGGCTGCCGGAACAACACCACTTTTATTGAGCCGCCTTAGCACGAATTTTCCTTTGAATGGCGTGAGTTCATAAAGATTGGTGTAATTCTAGAGATATTTATTGAGATCGCTCGCGTGGATCAAAGACTGTCAAGCTCTCCGTTTCCAAACCAGAGCTGTACCAAAAGAAAACATGTGAAGCAGGCTCTGTAATTGACTGGCACTTCAATATAAAAATACAATATAAACGCTGCTATTTACTAACGCTATGAAACAGAAAATGTACATGGCGGTTACGCAACTTTCCCGTTGAGCTTTGCCGAGTTCGCAAAGCCGTTCACTGGCTTTGGTATGGGCCTTCTTGATCCAACAAGCCTCTCCAGAATCTGAACAACAAATACCTGAATGAGTAGGATGAAGAACCTCAGCAGATGATCAAAAAGCCCCAGCTTCGGCCTTCTCTCTTTGATATCTGTAGGATTCTTGAACTCTAGGGGAAGTTTGGCGCCAAGGTATTCCTGTGCGACCCATAACCCGCTGCTAAACCCATCCTCATGTGTGCCATACCCAGTCCATGCGCCAGCGTAAGTGATGTTGCGCTTGTTTTGAATTGTCCGCAGCAGACTCTGTGCGTGTATGGAAGCTGCAGTGTATTGCGGACTACTGTAGTAGTAACGACCCCGTGTCAAGTCCCTGCGCGGTTGGTGGAGGGGGTTTAGAGTCAAAAACACATCCCCAAAGGTGGTCTTAGGGATGTGGTGTAAAAGATTCATGTCATATGTCAGGGATAATTTGCTTATCCCCAGCTTACTCCTGGGGTTTGGTGAGGAAAGTGTAAGGTAATTCAGACTAGACCAGGCCTTCTGTCTTCGGGGCATCAGAGTCGGGTCCGAGTGTAAGACGGCTTCAACCTGTAGAGTCTGGAAACACGAAAGAATGGAACGCTCCTGCTCAGTTGCAGAGGGGTTGATTATAGAGAGCGATTGATCACCATGGGTGGCGAGGATGACATGGTCGAATACTTCTGTTTTGCCATTTTCCAGGTGCAACCGCACTCGGCCATCATCATCGTTGGCAAGGTGCCTCACAGCCGTTTTGAGGAAAAGATGATTTGGGGGGAAGCCTCGCATGACGGCATCGACGTATGACTGCGATCCTTCTTTGAGGATGCGCCACTGAGGCCGTTCTGCAATACTTGTTAAGAGGTCATGGTTCCATCTGTATATTGTCAGTGCCTATTCAGTGGGTCTTCGGATTATCCTTCTGGACATCTCAAGAGGCCGCAACTTACAAGAAGCGCACCAGCGATTTCGCGGGGAAGTCTAGGGGAGATTTTGCCGGGTTGGTGCTCCAGAGAGCTCCGATGAGTGGAAGTAGATAGTCGTCTCTGAAGGCCGCGGAGTAACCCTCCCGATTGAGGTAATCGCCAATGTTCTCGGTTGAGCAAGCATACTTGGCGGAACCATTTCTCTGCCTCCCAAAGCGCGAATCGTCTTCTAGAAGCAAATCCAAGGCAAACTGGTTGAAACGGATGATATCAAATAACATTCGCCACATCCTTGGAGAGAGTATGTTCCTTCTTTGGCAAAAGACTGATCCTAGAGTAGTCCCGCAAACCCATTCCAATACGCCTCTATCCCTGGAGACAGAAAATTTCATCTTGGCAGGCTCGGTTTCGACTCCCAACTTTTCCAGAAACCCAAGAAAATTGGCTGCATATGTACGTTGAGTGGGCGAGCAGAAACTTCAAATGTTGGGTTCATCACTTACGATACGTGGCAGTGTTCAATACAATGAAGCCTGTGTCGACAGCCGCCGTATATCTGCCTGCCTTCCATTGCGCAGTGTTTGTGTGCCCACCCAAGCGGTCTGCGGCTTCGTAGAGATAGACATCATGGTAGGTCCTGTTCAAAGCCCAAAGAGCTGCAATACCGGAGCAACCACTACCAATGATGGCTACCCTCTTCCTAGTAGCACGGTTAATGGGGGGGCTCATGACAAAATTCCAGCGATATGCAGATATGTTTGAGAGATGGTAAGAATGCTCCAGTCGGTAGGGGTGGATATGATGATGATGATGATGATGATGATGATAATGATGCAGGAAAGCAAGCTACTGGCCAGGTGGAGAGTAGGGAGAGCTCTGCCTTATTACTGGAATGTGCGGAATGACATGTGAAAAATTCCAGCATCATAAGAAGGTCCAAAGCTTATATGGACGCTCGCCAACGCCGTCGAGCTCGAACTCAATCAATCACGGATTAGGATCCGCGACGTTCACGGGCAGTTGGGAAAATGCAGGGCGACAAGTGACGTTACCGGGCGTTGGTAGCTCGTACTTGTGTCTCGCTCCCCGGCAACTCCAATTGGAAGGCGAATAGGATGGAGGGAACGGGGAACTCCACCCTCCGTGGGCAGATACATATGAGAAGGAAGAACTCACACTTTGGAGATGTCATGCATTATATATTGTGTTTGAATGGTTGACGCAATCCACCGCCCCTCTCGGAGTCAATGCAGGCCAACTCAGCGTCCAGGATACCTGTGCCCAAGCTAAGGCAGGCAGTACGTACTGTAGATGCTGGGACAGCTACCTCGATATCCCCATAGCGGCCTGGCGGTAATTGGTGGCAGCAGCAGAGGTTCCAGAGGTGCCTTTCATCAATGCTGGGGGGAAGCGTTTAGGCGCCTTCACATCGTTTATTATGCGTACTATCCCATGCAAGATGACGGTTCGGGCCAGAGTAGGTTGCCTGCATCGACCCACCTTGAGCCAGAACCAGCAAGGTCGCAATTCTTCTGGTCGCGGTGCAACAGCTTTCGGATTTGAGCGACAGTCCGCATACAGACATCAGATCGCCTGGTGCTCTCACAAGCTTCGACGGTCGAGGCAGCTCTCGAGTCTCAGCGTCACGCCCTCTGGCTGGGTCACCAGCGTAACCACTACGATAACACAAGTTTGCTTGCCTCTGTCTGTCCAACAAGCACGCTACGATAAATAAAACTAAAGGAGAGCATGCTGCCTCCGGAACCTAAACACAAATGTTCTCTTTCCGGAGGGCATGTCGGACACTCAACGGGATCGATTAACGTGAGATACGAATCACCAATTCTTAGAAGCGCCGTGCAGGAAACCTGCTTTTCTCTACCCGGTCAATTCAACCCTGCGCCATGGACCAGAGGTCGCGACGTCGAGCCGTTAAAATTTCTTCTTCCGGGGGAATCAACTTGAAGAAGAAGAAGAAAATTTCAACAATCTTGGCCAGCTCGCAGCGAATTTTGCTACTGACGCTGGCACCGCAGTATCACGTGCCTGGCTGACTCAGCTCAACTCGAACGGAGCCAGTGATGGCTGGGAATGCAGGCGTACCCGCCTTTGACGCACTCCAGCTCACCCTCCAATCAAATGCCAGCTGCCTGATATTAGGTACGTAGTTTGCTCCACTGCGAATGGGAGAGGCGCATGATACTTCGGCTGCATCACAGCTGCCTGCGTTCTCCTGGTACATACCGACACCATCTACACGGCTGACGACCACCTCCAAGCAACACGATCGCATTCTATTCTCGGCGTCACGCTCAGCACATCGATCAAGTCAGAGCGCCAATCCCAAGACTCGAAACCTCGTCTCTTCCAAGCGACATCCACTTGCGACTGCTGTCGGTCGTCATCACCAGATATAGAACTCAAGATGGCCAATCCTCTCGACACCGATGCTGGTTCTGAGCTCTTCAGCTCATACGAGGCGGAATTCAAGCTGGTCCAGGCGGATCTATCGCAAAAGCTGGACCAAATTCCAGAGCTCTCCGGTGAACCCCGCAAGGCCGCAATCAGCCAAGCCGAGCGAGCGCTGGAGGAAGCCGATGAACTTGTGAGCCACACGGTTCCCGCTCAATTGCGATGATTTTGATGGGACTCTCCAGCTAACGATGCATTCTATAGCTTGGTCAAATGCGTCTAGAAAAGCAGAATATCCCCACATCTGCACGAACCAAGGTCAACCAGCGATTCCGCAATTTCGAATCTGATACTGATGAGGCTCGCCGAAAGCTAACCTCTCTTTCATCCGATCGATCTGCTCTCTTCGGATCTCGTTATACCGATGACCCTTCTGGATCTTCCGATGTCCACTTAGAACAGCGCCAACAGCTTCTCTCAGGCACAGAGCGTCTTGACCGGAGTACACAGCGTTTGAAGCACAGCCAGGCCCTTGCAAATGAGACTGAATCCATCGGAGCCGGAACACTAGCCACTCTTTCCGCTCAGCGGGACATCATCACCAATACTCACGACACCTTGACTCAGAGCGAAGGCTATGTCGATCGTAGTGTCAAGACCCTCCGGGGCATGGCACGTAGGTACTGTTGAATTTCTCAGGAAGCCGCAAAGTAAATCTCCAATCTAACAAACGCTACAGGATGGCTACAAATCGGGTGATTACAATTGCGATCATCACAGTTCTTGTTCTTCTCATCATCGCTGTAATCTGGAGCAAGTTCAGGTAAATGATGTTTTATGTACGGAGTTCTGGTTTGCAATATCGATTTCGCTAGGGTTACATCTGTCCTCGTAACCTGTTCGCAGGTTTCGCGGGTTAGTCATTCATGTTTTTTTGTCATTAGAAGTGTAAAGCACCAGATCGCAACATCTATTCCTTCAGATGGTTTTTCAGAGCGAAGAACGCTTCGTTGCTGGTGGCTGGCGAAAGCAAGCAACATAATATATACAGTGCAGCTACGAACATAGCTTATGAGGAGATGAAACGAAAGATAACACGACTATGTGACTGGCCAGGAGTAAACGAAATTTATTATATGAAATGTTGTCTTATAGCCAAAGGAAATATCACAAAGTAGATGGAGCATCGCAGCCGGAATAGCCGGTCTTCTTCCGTGGTAGTGCCGCATATACCGGTGGAGAGGTCCTGGATCATCCACCAACCAGCCACTTTCTCACAAATCTCGAATTACCTCTTCAAAAGCGAAATCTTCCCTCCCTAGCTCATTCTCCCTCTAACCAACCACCCCTTTCTCCGCCCTCCCCCCCGGTAGGCACCGGTTCCATCTCTCGCCTATTTTAGGCCGCCGAATTTTCATTGCTTTCTCTTCTTTGCTTGCACCGTCTCCCCCAAGCGCCATAGCAGCTTCCTACGTGCGCAACGTAGCCTCATCTCGAGATGTCCGAATTCCTAGGGTACGAACAGCACCTGCCGACATTGACGGGTTGAAATCCATCGAAGCTGGTAACTCATTGCTAACACGGTCTTCAGCTCTCGTATCTCTCTGATTTCCAAGAGCGACATCCGGTATGCGTGATCGAGAGTACGCGCCCCGACTCAGCTTCTGCTGACGCCTCATTAGCTATGTGGGTGTGCTCCACGAGATCAATTCCGACGAGTCAACAGTATCGCTCGAGAATGTTCGATCCTTCGGCACGGAAGGCCGCAGAGGACGACCAGAAGAAGAGGTCGGCCCCTCCGATCAGGTCTATGAGTATATTGTCTTCCGTGGGAGCGATGTAAAGGACTTGCGGATCGAGGACCACCCAGGCATCAAGGAGAATCAGCCTCCTGCCATGCCTGATGATCCTGCAATCGTTGGAGTACGTATAAACAGATTCTACCCCCTCCACATTTTGTTTGATACACTCCAAATGATGAATTATTGCGGATGTAAAAAAAAAATTGTCTTGTCGGAAAGCGCAAAAAACAATGTCGATATTTCCGTTGCCTTCCTTCTGATCTGGAAATCACTCAATTCTCTTTTTATCATTTCTTCTCCTTGACACGAAGAGTATGCTAATTGGAAAATTCAGTCAGCACGAACCCGACCCGGGCCTCCTCAAGGTCCCAACCAGAATGCGCCTCCGCCACCTGGCCCTGGCGGCCCTGGGCCTTATGGGCAGCATCCTTATCCCCCCAACAACTTCTACGGCCCCCCTGGGGCATGGGGTCGTGGTGCACCCGGTCCTGGTGGTCCCGGTGGTCCTGGTGGTCCTGGCGGTCCTGGCGGTCCTGCCTTTGGAAACATGCCCTACCCTCCTGGATGGTTTCCTCCTGGTCAAGGCTTCCCTCCAGGCCCTGGTGGGCCAGCTCCTTGGGGGGCACAGCCTTTCCCTCCCGGCCCTGGCGGGCCTCCCGGGCCTGACGGTCCGCAACAACAACCACCACAGGCTCCGGGGCAGCAAGACAAGAAACATATCCCAATTGGCCCTGAAGCTGATCGTTCCAACTCTGAAGCACCGTCTCACCCACCCCTACCTACAGAGCCCAAGTCACTGGCTCAACCATCACACCAGCCAGTTGAGGCACCGACTCCTGCTTTAGAGTCAAAGTCCTCCACAGAGGAAGTGAAGGCCAAGCCCGCTGAGACACAGGCTCCATCTGGGCCCGCAAAGAGTATCCCTACTGGACCTCGAACTAACCGGGTCAACCCGGTGATACCTCTGTCAGGATCGTTATCAAAGCCTTTCCAGCCTCCTATTGCCCAGGAAAAAGTCACTCAGACCAGTGTTCAGGCAACTGTCACTTCTACAGCGCCAAACAGCGTCCAGGATGCCACAAGCGCTGCCAGGGCTGCGGTTGCTGCTGCCATGGCTCAGCTCGGTAACGGTGGGGGCAATGCCATGGACAACTTGACCAACAAGGTCAACGAAATGAGAGTCAACGCAACCAGAGCCCCTACCGCTCCCCGAGGTCGTGGCCGTGGAGGCCGCCCCACGGGAAAGGTCGAGGTACCAGACTCAGACTTCGACTTCGCCCAGTCTAATGCCAAATTCAACAAGGAGGACCTTCTCAAGGAGGCGATCGCGGGCTCTCCTGTAACTGAAACAGGAAATGCGCACACTCCCAGCAGTACCGAGTCGCCCGCCCCCTCGGAAAACCCCATCGCCTACAACAAGTCAAGATCATTCTTCGACAACATTTCAAGCGAGGCCAGGGAGCGAGCCGAAAACAACGGGCAAAGGGCCGGTGGCCGTGAGTGGCGCGATGAAGAGCAACGCCGCAACATGGAAACCTTTGGCCAAGGTAGCGTTGATGGCGGACACCGAAACTTCCGTGGTCGCGGACGCGGTCGGGGCCGTGGAGGAAGAGGTCGAGGCATGGGTCGCGGGGGCCGAGGCGGCCAGCGATTGCCCTACCAGACAGGCGAAGCAGATCTATAGTCTGGTG